ATCAAAATGTAGAGTTGTGGAGCCCGGTCCTAATGGATACATCTACCACACAACCCCTGCTCCTAGGGCTCAGGGATCATTGCAGAGAGGTGTTGAGGGTGAGGGGTGGGTAGGAAGAATGTAAGAGCCAAAGAAACAGAGTTTGATGTGAGATTGGGTATCCTAGAAATGTCAGAGACGCTATGAAGTCTCACCAACATGGCTGCCTAGAGATCTGAGCAATGCTGACATGGAAGGGGGAAATGCTCAAGGGGCCTCAACCCTACACAAAGAACTACAGTCAACTAAGGAACGCTGAGAGCAGGAGGAATGGTCTTCCCCAGGGTAGAGCACACCAATGTTATCCAGTACCAAACGGTCAGCCTTGAAAACATACAAACAAGTAACATATGAACTGAGCAGGTGGTATTCATATATTCAGGAATACACATACCTAACAATGGAAAAAAGGACGTGAATATGAGAGAGATCAGAGGATGGAATGCATATAAGGAGTTGTAACAAGGAGAGAAGTGGTGAAATTATATTATAATCGCAAACAATGAGTAGGCTGCCAGGACACCAGGCACAAGCTCTGGAAGGGCGATGCTCACCTAGACTTCTGTAGCGACCAGGGAGGACAAAGGTTGACCAGTGAGGAGCAGCAAAGGACAAGCTAATGGCTGGTATGCCAGTCCTGTTTCCAGAACTACCTTTATGTGAGCGTCATGCGGGAAGCTCAGCTCCTCCCCACTACCAGCATTCTCAGTGACCTCACAGTAACCAGGAAGGCGGCTGCTTCCACGCTCGGCTTGGTGAAGCTGTGGATTGCTGCTGTTCCAAATCAGTGTATCCCTCCAAGTGGAAAACACCAGCGACTGCGTGCCATGATAAGAATGGAAGGTTTCTGTCAGGCAACTCTTGAGAACGCTGGGTCTCAGCACAGAAGATATTGTAATATAACGCTGAAGACAAATCGGGCTCTTTAAGAATACATGGCTGGTGCTAAGGAAATCTTCAAGAGCCAAGTATTTTGAGAATTATAAAGTGATGTTATAACAAGGTCAAGAGTCTATGGTACAAGGGTTTTAAATTACTGCAATAGCCTGGAACAGAGTCCTATAAAGGGGACGGAGGTACTTCATTACCTTAGCCTAGTAAATCAGTAGGCATGATTTGTACTGCTTCTTCAGCGCTGTGTTAACCACACAGAACTGGTCAGACGTGAACAAATATTTCTTGAGAAATTAGTTAATGAAATAAACCACAGGATGAACCTTCGGTTACTTAAGTCTGACAAATCGTACACAAAAGGTCAGTAAGGCATTTCCTTTTCCTTTTTCAAGGCAGGTAATTTGGGAAGTCATACGGTTAGCCAGGGATGTATTCAAGGAAAACAAAGCAACAAAACGCAATCAATTGCTTTTCATTTAAAGTAAGTTCTCAGGAGCAGTTGGCAAATCATGAGTTATGCCAGGATTTCCCAAATACAGACCTCTATAAATTACAGTCAATTTCTCACCTTCAGATTGCTTCTCTCCCACACCAGCCCAGAAAACTAGAAAGCCAGTGTCCTACGACAAGCCCAGGCCAAGTTCTGTGGGCACCCTGGGAAAATGAAAGCACTGTCTCGGCACGCCACTGATCAAGGGGAAAGTGCCTTTGTACTCAATGCCCCAATTGGTATTTGTGGCCACCGGGAGCAGCCGCTTTCATTTCTCTTAGCGCTTGTTCCAAAGCAATGTAGCCAGGTGCCATTCCGAAAGGAAACCTCTAACTACCCCTAATAGCTTAAGTCAGCACTTTCCCAAGTGAAAGATGGGGTGCCCGGGGACATTTCAGAGGTGAGGGTGGCACATTCAAACCTGAGGTGTGTCTACTTCCCCAATGACGTCATTTTAATAGACACCGCCCCACCCCCGTTTCCTGGGCACATTAACACGCGTACATGATTTCCTGGGTGAAAAAGTCCCTTCGCTAGGGTATGAAAGAGCCAACAAGTCAGACGACTGCCATTCCTTCTGCAACGGGGCTAATTTCCTGAGAAAGGCGGGGGCAGGGGGGTACACTCCACTGCACAACCTTGCTGCTGCTACTGGGCCAAGCTCACAGTGTCAGCCTCTCCTACACCACAGGAAGAAAACCTGATGTTGGGTGGGGAACACGTTCATTTTTAGAGGAAACTATGGCATACATGCAAACTGAAAAAGTAAATACATGTACTGTGTGTGGACCTGTGAACACAAGTGTAAGAGGATGCAGCACTAAAAAATACAGTGTGGTTCACATATGCAGTTGCTGCAAAATCAAAAATCCTGAACACTACCAAAGCCAGATGATGGTCTACAGATGCGATCCGGGGCTTCTATTGCTACTTTAGTTCATGCTTCTAAAATGCACAGGTATCCTTAATAACTAGGGATCCAATAATAACTCGCGAACCACCTTGACTTATGATATGGGAGGTGATGTATGCTGTGAATATGCTTTTATTGCCATTGGTTAATAAAGTAGCTGCTTTTGGCCAATGGCTTAACAGAATTTAGCCAGGCTGGAAGAGAGATATCGGGAGGGAGTAGGCGGAGTCAGAGAAGCCATGGAGCTCAGCTACCTGCCAGAACCTTGCGGGTAGGCCTCAAGCCTCGTGGTAAAATAAGAATAGAAATGGGTTAAGATATAAGAGCTAACGCTTATGTGATTGGCCAAGTAGTGATTTAAATAATATAGTTTCTGGGTGGTTATTTATAGTTGAGGCAGCAGGAACGAACAAGCAGCCTATGCCAACAGACTTATATAAAAGAATTAAGTCAGCTGACCATCTAATTATGTTTTTTTTTCAGTGCTGGAGACCAAACCCAAAGCCTCACAAACAGTACTAGGTGCCCTGCCACTGAGCTACTGCCAGCCTGGGGTGAACATTAATGCAGACAGAGGCGATTTGCATTCGAACTGTGGCTGGCACACTCTGGTAGAGCGTACATATTTGTTCCTAAGCTATAAGCTCAGTGTTTCCTTCACAATACATTTGGAGCGACCAAGACTGAGAAAAGACTAGTAACACAGGGAATTGGGCGCTAGAGCCAGAGCTGAAAGCTCAACACCAAGATTCACACTCTCTGTCCCAGGAAACAGACCAGATTCTGGAGCAGTGAAGCCCATGCTGTCAGGGCTTCATCAGCTCTCCAATACTGACTGAACGAACAAAGCACCTTTGTGTCAACATTCCATACCTGCTTTTGAAGTTCACTGAAAGGGAGCTATCAACGTCATTCAGCAGTATTAAAAGCAAGGTGAGGTGGTTCACTTAATGAGTAAAGACCGCCAGGCTAACCCTGACAACCTGAGTTCAATCCCAGAACTCATTCGATGGAAGGACTGACCCCCACAAGCTGTCCCTTAGCTGCTCCTGTGTGCTATGGAACACACACACACAAAAGTAAATGTGTGGTGTACGCCTTTAATCCCAGCACTCGAGAGGCAGAGCAAGGTGGATCTCTGCAAGTTCAAAGCCAGGCTCCAAAGTTACAGAGAAACCCTGTCTTGAGGGGGGAAAAAACGTAAATGTGGGCTCTAAAGTCCTCAAAAGCTCAAGGCACCAAAGGTGGCGACAAGAAGCACTTCCTACATATTTTGAAAAAGAACCCTTAGTTTTGAGCTGTAACAAGGGGCTTCACACAAGAGGTGTTTGTTTTTTAATTCTGTAAGTCATCAAGCAGTTTCTGAGAACTGTAAGCGACAATGTAATTCCCTGTAAAATGATGTACAGCCAGCGCCACATTTAGATTACACACACGCACCCATCCACCAGACAGCCACACACAGAAAGAGTGAATCTGACCAAACGTTTGGTCTGTCATACCATTTTGCTGACTTGAACTCTACTAAAACACAAGAAAACCATCACTCCAGGAGACACGGAGTTAAGGAAAAGGACCGGATGTGTAACATTCACCCAAAAGACCCTGAGAACAGTAGCAGTCAGCAGCAGAAAGACAGTGAAGAAACATTTATAGTATCAGTAGGAAAACCCATTGAAAATGCCAATGTTGGACTGGAGAGATGGCTCAGAGGTTAAGAGCACTGGCTATTCTTCCAAAGGATCTAGAGTTCAATTCCCAGCACCTACAGAAAGGATCACAACCATCTTGAGTTCCAATTCCAAGGTATTTGATGCCCTCTTCTGGATTCTGAGTGCGCCGCACACTGCTGGTGCAGACATTCATACTGATAAAACACACAAACACATACAATAAAAATAAAGAAAATCTCGAAAAGAAAAGTTGAAGGTAAACTACACCTGGGAAACCAGAGGTAAAAGTCGCTATAAAATAAACAGGCGAATTGAGAGGGCGAGCTGACTAGGAAGTAGAGGGGAGGCAGGGAGACACATTTTATTTTAACGGACAGAAGAGAATCTAAAGGAGACTATCAGAAGATTTCTCAAACCACATAAAACACAAGTCCAAAGCATGGCTTTAATTTGGTTATCTTTATTATAATGTTTGGAATTTATGCTCTGCTCTCAATCAAGTGGTTATGACCTTAAAAAGCACATAATCCCACCACAGGACCAATGCTACTCGTCAGCGCCTGGCTGTTACGTCACTCTGATGGACAGTGTGACAGCTAAGTCCAAAGAGCCTGCCATTTGGTTCTCTGCAGAGGATGTCACCACCCGCACAGGGACCGTAAGCTCTACAGCACCGACACTGCTAGCAGTCATGGCCGAGATACCCAGACGCTGCCAGTCGGTGCCCATCCTGAGGGAAGCTGTAGAGATGGTTCAGAGGCCTCACTGATCGGCCACAGAAACATGAGCAAAATGGCTGAATGAACTCACATGGATTCTTTATCCAGGGCTGGACCCCCAATGTACAAGAGCAGACATAAATAAATGAAGCAGAGAACATTTAAAGGTCAAACGTCACCCTCAACATGTAGTTGATGAAGAGCACGTTGCCTAAGAAAAGTCGTTAGACAGTAAATGACAATAATTAGCAAAATCTTTAAAAACACCCAACTTTTAAAAGTTCCAAATATCTGATTTATTTGACAACAGAAAAATATTAACAGTTTTAGATTGTGCTACAAAGAGCTGGAGCAGTAACAGCAACAGGAATTACTTAGGGACAGGAACATTCAACTACTGTACAAGGGCACCAAGCCTCCGCATCCCAAACAATTACAGAGTACACAGAGACGTTTCTGTTGACAGGAGACAGAGAAACCCAAAACTAGACAAACTAGACGGAGTCCAGTGACTACAGCAGCCCCTGGGGGAAGCAAGTGCTGGCAGGAAGTGAGGCTTTCCACCAGATGATCACGTGGACCTGCAAGGAAGAAAACACAGTTCAAGAGACCACGCAGACTGCACGCCAAGTTCTCTCTGAAAATCTCACAAAATAAAAATAAGTCTTTTCTCTGTACCAAAAGAATTTTTTAAAAATACACTATGGGTAAAATAAACTTGAGTAAAGGCCCAAGTCCTCTTCAGAGACGCGCGCATTTACAAATAACACACATCAGAACAAGTCTGACAACACAAACACTGGACTACTTAAGACAGGCCAAGCTAAGTTCGTGTGCTGCTACAAGACATTACATCAAAATGAATCTCATTCGCACTATAATTTTTTCTTTTTAACCTTTAATCACCAGCGGCTGGGCAACTGAAATGGACATGAGAACTATATAAATGTCAGAGAAATATGTAAACCTCATTAATGTTTCCAAAAATTCATTTAGAGATAGAAACAGGTCCAGATAGATGCCTGTCTAAATGTACTGCAATTACGTTACAGTGACTTTCCCAAATGCACAGATATGCTCTGTCTTCTCTCAGCTCATTACTGACTCAAACAATTTGCCCTTCTGGGATCAATTGTTTGCTAATAAATAATTGTTTACAGTCACAAAATGATGTTAGGAGGGTTTCTTATTAGTTTTCCTCCTGCACCCTAATAAGATTGAAAACTAGCTGAGTCCCAAGAGTCTAACCTTAACCTCGCTTTGTTTAACAGCCCAGGAAATGATGAACCATCTGCTTCAGAAAATAATGGACGGCCAAGAGGAAATATTGTTTAATTGTAGATTAACCTCCTCAGGAGGCAGTCTGAAGCAGCTTTCGAATTACCAACTATCACCAGCAAAGAAATCAATGGCTCAAGAGCCTTTTCCTCTACCATTTAAGGTCCAGAAAGAACACAAAGGGATTTTTATTACTTCTATTTACAAACATTTATTTCCACAGCAGAAACAAAAATCAAGGTCAAAACTGCTTCTCTCTTAAAAATGTGGCCACTGCCCTCCAATCCTGTCTGCCCAAATATCTCTAATGTAGCAAACCATCAAAAAGAAAAAACAAGAAAAACTTATTTTCCTTTATTTTCAGGCTCTTAAAAAAAATTAAAATTAGTATTTCCCTCATTTCTGTGTTAATATTTATAAATCCACCACTGGGGAGGACCAACTGTTTTATCAGCATCAACATGGCACTTAAGTAAATGAAATCTTGTCAAGCACATGGTGACCTACAAGTTCAAAAGGAAAAAGAACAGCATGAGATGAAAATGGCCGGCTGGGACAGGAAACAGAAGAGGGACAGATTAAACACAAACTCGGCCCTTTAGCCAGCAGCTCCACATCCTAAAAATCTCTACATCCAGCCTGTGAAAGCGCAGACACTACTCCTTGTCAAATGCTCTGCTTCTACAGACAGAGGCCCAACAAATTTAGCAAGGGCACTTCAGAAAATTACAGAAGTCCAACACACATTTACTTAATACAAACCCTCCCTGAGGATTTCCTCTGAGGACCTGAAAGCAAGGACAAGGAGGGACAAGACACACGGGGCAGTCACTGCATGTACGCTGTGCCTGCGCCTCTCTCGGAGCCTGGAGAAGACTCTGTCCCACTGCTGCCAAAAAGCCTAGATGGCGCCTCCGGCCAACAGCTAACCCAGCAACATCTATGAAAATTCCAGAAGGGGGTCTGCTGTGCTGGGCAAGGCCATATTACTCTGTCTCCAATAAAACCCAAAGGTCATTCGCTTCTGTAAATATTACAGAAACAATCTCTGGAGAGGGAAGGGTTTGTTGTTTTTGGCAGTTCAAATTCTTAAATATCTTAAATAGAATGTACTAAAATAAATTATTCTTGAATTCCTCAACTTAATTTTAAAGCAATGAGCTAGTAGTAACTCCAGAGATTCAAATAATAGAGCCTATTCAAGAAGAATGAGAGTTTGACATTCTTCTCTACAAAACAACTAGGCACAATTTTATCCATCAGACGTCTATCAACCTACGGATATTGAAAGCTTGGGAGAACAAGATAAAATCACTTCCAACCCTACAGTCAGCTGTAATATCGAGCAGGCATCAACGACGCTATTCATGAATTTGGAAAAATTAATAAGTCCTGGGTTGAATGCAAGAAAAGGCTTCAATCCAGGTGAAGCATACTCACTTGGGCTTTGTTTCTGCATCTGTCACTTGGCGAATGAAGATACCATCTTCAGGATGCTCCACGTCATCCATTTCATACATATAGGACGATGCTATTGCAAGCGTGGTTCCGTCATTACTGAAGGCAAGAGACGCAATGCTAGTGGGGTATCGATGGAACTGGCATAGTCGCTTTTTGTTAAACGGATCCCAAATATTTACAAATCCATCAGAACCACCTGCAAGTAATGTAACTTGTTAATACGGCTCTGTGCACCGAAGCAGAGAGACACTCTTAGGGTTCTGCCTGAGCATAAGCAGCATAGTCTCAGCGCTCAGCTCAGGCCCGCGTGTCATACTTCACCTGTGGCAAACGTATTGTGGATATTGTGGAAGGAAATGGCGTTGACTGGGTAAATCTGCTCAATGTTGTTTTCCTTTAGCCTGTGACACTTGAAGGCATACTTCTTCTTCTGAACCTCGGGGCTTGGGTCCAGGTATTCTACTGCCACTCGGCCTTCAATGGAGCTCAACACATAACCCTGCCGAGAGAGCGGAGGCCCAAAATGGCAAAAACCTGCCTTCCAGAGAGCAACACGAGGTCCCCAATTCAATCCACAAAGACGACTATTTCAGAAATGAAAGTTCAGCCAGGTTTAATAAAGGACTGGAGCTGTCCTGACGGCCATGCCATCTCTATAGACACCTGCTTTGTAAGACATGGCGCCACCCTTGCTGGCTTTCTCTCTCCACACTCTCAGTACCTAGCACACTGCAACCAAAAATGACTTGTTCTGTCAAGTCTAAAAAACTTCTAAGTTTTACTATCCTTTGTCTCCTGCCCTGAAGGGGACTATAACCTGTTGCCTCAGGTAAAACCTCCTCTGCACCTTTAACTCTAAGCACTGTGCCCCCTCACTGGGAGGATGCACCAGTAATCCTGTCCCAGCACGGCTGGGGCTGGCCCACCTCTGTGTTTACTAGTGAGTCAGGTTTGCATAAACCAGGCTGAGCAACCCTCCCGAGGGTGCCCCAGTTTCAAACCGTCTTTCATCTTCCCTTGAAATAACAACATATTTTTAAAAAGATAATGCAATGATTATGAATACTTTTTACATCTTTATATTTTAGTCCAGATATTTCAAAAGTTATTCCCAAAAACTGCTCACAGAAAATGAATTCAACGTAATCGAACCTTTATTATTTATGTGTGTGTGTGTGTGTGTGTGTAGAGGCACTTATGAATGGAGGTCAGAGGGCAACTTGCAGCTGTCAGTTCTCTCCTTCCACCACATGGTTCCAGGGAGAGAACTCAGGCCATCAGTCTCGGCAGCGGGCACCTTTGCCCACTGAGCCACCTCCATTTTTTTTTTTAAATAAAATCCTATTTTAAGCATCCATCATAAAAGCAAAGATAATCCTACAGAAAAATTTAAACATAAAGACATAAAATATTTCTGTAATGCAAGTATGTTTTAATCACATTTCAACCTCTCCAAGTTTCACTAACTGCAGCTGACTGTCTTTAATACTTACAAGAACAGTAACCACCACCTGAGACTCAAGGTGAGACAAAGAGCCAAGAGAACGACTTCCTGCTCCATATTCCACAGCAGCTACAGGACAGCCCTGACACCAAATGCATCTACTGCTTTAAGTGAGGCTTTCTCTTTAAAAAAAAAAAAATCCTACAACTGCTCACCTCACAACAACTGCCCTTGTATTTCTTGAGACAGTGTCTCACTTTATAGCCCACGATGGCCTTGAACTCACACTCTTCCTGCTTCAGACTGCTAAGATTATAGGAGTAGGCCAGTGAGGCTAACCACCCCCTTTTCCCCTTATAGCTTTAAGGACTGCTAATAAAAGGTAGCTTACTAAATTGTTTTGTTTTTAAAGTAATGATGGAAGGAGACCCACTCAACCTCATCTCAGCAGCATTCTTATTAAAAAAAAGAAAAGAAAGAAAGAAAAAGAAAAAATATCAAAGCTCTCATTTAGTAAGAGAGAAACAACCCTGATAATATCAGGATTGAAAAACCACAAAGGCAGGCATCCATATCTACAATCCCAGCCTTGGAGAAGCTGAGGCGAAAGGAGTGTAAAAATGACACCAACCTGAGCTACATTAAAAAAAAAAAAATTCTATAAACTTAAATTTCCAAACTTAAGCTTTGATTGGCGTACAAATTGAATATGTTTGATACTGCATACTTTCTGAGCATCCCACACCAAAACCATCAATAAGAAAAGCATCTCTTCAAAGCACTTGACCATCCCTAAAATGTGGGGCTGTTATTCTCCTCTAACCTTCAGTTGCCATTAAAGAATTCAAAAGAGCAGACCTAAGGCAAATTATAAGTCACCTAAGGCAAATTGTAAGTCACCACGACTTGGAAATTCGGAGAAGGGAGCTGAAGGGACCGGTACCTGCTTGTTTGGAAAGGCGCGGATGCAGCGAGTCTGGTACTTCAGGCTGGACTCCCTGCGCTGCTGCACGTAGCCCATATTCCTCAAGTCCCACACCAGCACTCGGCGGCCTGCTGTACCCACAATCAGCCTGTCCCCGGACACCGACAAGGTGTACACCTTTTAGGAAACATCAAAACTCAATAATCATCATCTACTTCCTGAAAAATAACATTTTGCTCCCAAAGTCTGTCTAATCCTAAAACCATTAAAAAACGTGGCAGACCACATTCCCAGAGCAGGCGTCTACTTTAGTCAGAAGTGAGGTGACTTAGACAAACTTGGCACACACACAATCACCAAGCATGAAATACACTCCAAGTGTGTAGACACTTTTAAAGTCAAAACACTCGTTATTATGACATTTCCCCCAAAATTTCTTGATTCATTTAAGATAACAGTATTAAACCCACTCAAAACAGGACAACAGAGTCAAAACGCCTTTCGGCTTTTCGTAAAAGAATCGTTTTCATTTTTTTCTATGACCAGACCAGCTTTTCAAAGACTTCATCCGGCGACTCTCAAACTCTTGGCGTCTCCCAGCTGTTCCCCGAGGGAAAGGCCTTTCGAGGAACAGTGAAGAAGGCGTAACTAGCAGGCTGACTTGTGGCTTTGCAGGGACAAACTCAAAAGGAAAAGATAAGGACAGCTGCCATGCTCATAGCCAAGCTACCCTTAGGCTCCGATGTCATCATGTTCAACTTCAAAGAAGGGAGCTCAGCTTATGGGGATGAAAAAAAAAACTAAGGCATCTTCCCCTGAAAATATCTATTTTTCCCCCGTCATAATGTCTTTCCTTCAATATTTAAGCCTCCACAAAAATACTTTTGTAAGAAATCGTAAATTTCCTGCAAGCAGAACATTTAGAAGCTTACATACAAACAAAATTTTACGTAGATACCAGAAGGAAAAAATTCACAAAAGAGTAGCAAAGAGTCTTCCTAACCTAAGTCATAGCCTTAAAAATCTAGACCTGGGGTCTGTAACAGAGGTTATTGTTGACTTTCAACCCCTGCTGAACTGCTATTAAAAACTGTAAAGGAACCATGATACCGAAAGACTTCCTTTTAACCCTCAATAACCATGCCATATAGTTGATAATCACCAGTATACAACTACAGGCCACCAGTCAAAGGACCAGGTCAGGTCACAATACAATGCCCAAACAGCAGCCCCTACACCTACAATCTGACTTTAAAATCTAAAAACTAATGCAACTCAAAGAAAAATAGGAATCTAAAAAATTGAAATATTAAGTAATTATTGCATACTTATATAAGAACATTGTAATATATGTTTATTCAGAAAGCCAGTATTTTTCAAGAAGAAAATTAATCTACAATATATGAAGTGCTAAACTTAAAAAATAACCAGAAAGAAATCAATTTATAATGGTACAATTGTATCAAGAATTACCTTAAATCTTTACTATACAGGTGACACACAAGCTTCTGAAACTGCTTTCTGTCCCCGCTGATCATAAATCAGGGAAAACCACTGTCATGCTACTGACTAGGTGTATACATTCATCAAACAGAGTATTAAAAAAAAGCGACATAATGAACCTCCTGAACCAATAAGCAGCCTGATTCAGTGTGGCTGGTCCATTATATGATATTCCGTCAGCAATTCATCACCGTTCTTAACATGTTACATACAACCATAAATCAAAACTAGAAACAATGCAATTATTTTATTCTGAACAAAGGTCTTGCCAGGAGTAGATTCGACTGTGACGTGACAGAAATAATGGCTCTTTGCTTGCACTGCTGTATATAACGCCGGCTAACAGGGCCGAACAGCGTATTTACACCAGGGAAGACCGCCAGTGAAGAACACCTTCACACTGGTAGAACAATCCAGCTTTTAAATTAACCGCCACCTGAGAGACGGTCTGATGAGGACACAGCTGAAGTTTGTTTAGCAAACAGATCAACAAGTCAGAAGACACAAAGTTGGCTTCCAAAAGCTCGGAACAGAATCCCTGATAGGTTTATCCAATCCTAAGAGGTCAGCCAGAAACACATGGATAAACAAACACCACTAATGGATTCAGGAGCTGGTGTGTGTTCATGTGTATGAAACAGTAATAATTATAGAAGAAGCCATGAACCTGACATTGAGTCGAGGGAGCTGGGGGTGGGGGGGGGCGGTGATGAAGGGGTGGGAAAGATGTAAATATAGTGTACTCAAGTACAAAATTCTCAAAAAAAAAAAAAGGAATCATAGATACAAATGGTTTTATAATCTAAAGGTAGAGACTGTCAATCTGGACTGAAATAACAAATTAACAACAACAACAAAACCAAGATCCAACTATGGTACTGTCTATGACAAATAAACAATTTAGATTCCAAGTGTTTAAAAGCTCCATTTACTACAAGCCTTCAAATGACATCTGCCAGCGTTTAAATACACACATAGCAATAAAAGTCAGAGAACACAGCTCTCACTGAAGTTGAAATGATAACCCTTTCATTGTCAATGTCAACATCCCAACTGCTTTGGGCTGTCAAGCTGAGGTTAGGACAGCCAGTCTCTGTAAACAGGGAGTTACTCTCAGACCTCACAATACATGGAGAGAGAAATTAAGTCGGGCTCTCCAGTCCAAGTTTAACACTGACAGAAAAAGAACGGCCCAAAATTTAAAAGTGAATTCCCTTCACTTTAAAGCATTTCTGTGTAGTTAGATTTCTAAGAGACTGTCAGTTCTTAACCTAGGCAACAGCATTTCATCAAACATGCACCCAAACACATCACCCCGATGAGCACAGCAGCCCGGACATAAAAACCCTACCTTTTCCGGCTGAGAGAAGGTGCCAGCATTACAAGGAGTTCTGGGATCCCACAGTTTAACTGTCTGATCCCAACTTCCAGTAACCATGACATTCACTTCGGGACAGTATTCCACACATCTGATAGGGGCATCATGCGTTCCGACAAGATTTTCTATTGCAAAGAAAAATAAAATAAAAACAGCACATATAGCCTTGCCATCTCAACTGACTGGGATACCTTAAGTGAACTAATGGGACATTCAACTGAAATGAATTTGTCTCGATCAACTCGACAGGAACGCCTGCACGTGAGCAATTCTCCGCGACTCCAACGTTACCCGGACCTAATTTACTCCAGACTGCCTAGGTCAATGCCATAGCAGAAGGGAGCACAGCTGCCTTGAATTTCACTCCAACTGCATTAAGACGGTGCGTGCTTATCAACGTGATCCTAGGATTTATAAGAAAACTGAGTTAACTCTATGCCTTCGTTGGTACCTAGTACCAGATTGGTACATCGTAGGTGCTCAAGGAAATACTTGCTGAATGCAGCAATGAGTGGAGCTCTCTGGTTTCCTGTGCCCTGACAACACTTTCTTCACATTGAGCCAACGCCTGTAAGAAATGGTTACAGGATTTGAAAGCTGACGGGAGCCTTCCAGCTAATTCACTTTGCTCTCATGGTAAGGTCAAATTTCCACTACGTAATTTTTTTTTCTCAACCTCAACCTTCACATTATCTCACGTGTTCTCTCAGTTAACATCATCTATTAAGTATCTACAATGTGCCAAAACCCACGTGACACAAAGATACAAGATGACTAGCAGGCCTGGGGATGACGCTCAGAGAGAGCACTTGCCTAGCATGTATATAACACACACCCCCAAATCACGTTCATACAGAAGCCTCTTCCAATGAAACACTGCTCTTTTTCTCCTTCCAACAGTCTCATGTAGCCTAGGCTGGCCTCAAACCGGCTGTGTAGCTGAGGCTGGCCTTCAATTTCTGATCCTCCTGCCTCCCCCCCTTCTCAGTGCTGGGATTACAGGAACACCACCACACCCAGCACAGAGATGCTTCTCTATCCATCTTCCCTTTGTTCAACGTAGCCTCTAGGTAGTTACATCATGACCCCCTGACGCCTCCTTCAAGTATAGTTGTATCCAGTAGAGCAAACAAAGCTCAGAGCGCTCTCTTTTCTGGGCTCCACTCCAATTTCTGCCTCAGTGAAATCTGAAAACTCTTAAGAAATGTTTTTACACACACAACTGAAACACATTCTTCTGCGAAGAATACAAGTTTCCTCATGACTGGCTACTGGGTTGCACCTTTAAGACACACTTTTCCAGCAAGGAGAGCACCCTAAGATAGCAAACAGTCCTAGGAAATCCTGAAATGGATCCAGTCCACTTTTAAAGACTTCTAAAGGTAATGGCCAAACGCGTAAGTGATACTTTGGGAAAACACTTAAGGCAGTGTTTATAATGGGTTTGACTGCAAAATACACACTCCATTTGTGCTAACTTAATTCCAATTTAAAATGTCTATTATCAAAGCCACTTTTCACCTTCACCTAAGCACTGAGACCAACTACTCATCCTAAGTAAGCCTTTCCGCATTAATACACTAGCAAAGGAAAACTGGTAAAGTGTGGCCGTGTTACCTTGATCAGTGTTCAAATCATGCATTTTCAGTTGATGATCCAATCCTCCACTCCAGGCATGCGTTGGATCCTACAAAGTAAAGTTTGGTTTTGGTTTGTTGGTTTGTTTGTTTTGAGACAGGGTGTCACTAATAGCCCTTGTGGTCCTGGAACTCACTACAAAGAACAGGCTGGCCTCAAAACTCAAAGAGATCCGCCTGCCTCTGCCTCTGGGTTTAAAGACTTGGCCACCACGCCCAGCCCCGTAAATTTTGAACCATTTCAAAGTTACAAAGCTTTAGCAAGCATTTCAAAATGGCTATTTCTACAGTCAACTGTTTGGGTATGACAGACACTAAGAAGTAAACAAAAATGCAAGTTGTCTCCAAAAAGAACAAAGTGCAGCTTTATCACGAGGGACACCAGCAGCTAACTAGACTATATTCACGCCTTTCAATCTTTCCTTCTAATAAGGTAGCTAAATTAGTATTGCTGAGAATTCCAAACACAATTATGTCGAGAAAGTTCATCCAAGTCTGAACTTGAAAAGGGTGATTGAAACTGCGATGAAAGGAGAAACACAAACGAACGAACCATGGCAGTAGGCTCAAACCAAGCTAAAGAGAAGCACTCCAGAACATTATGAACTGCCCCAACACTCCAAATCGTGTATGGGATGCTATGGTACGGTCTACACTAACTCGGTAAGGGGACAAGGGCAGAAACTGAGTCCACCTACGTAGAAGGCGCAGTCCAGGACAGCACCAGTGTGCTGGTACTTGAGTCGCATGGAGTTGGCGGGCACATCGTAGAGGCGTACAGACGTATCCCAGGAGGAGACCAGGAGGAATTGGGAGGTGTTGGGGCTGAACTTGACCGAGGAGATGCCATCCTCGGGTGGCTGGTTCAGATTGAACTCGTTCGAACCCGTCATCTGCAAAACAAACGTTAAGTCTGAGTCCCTTACCGGAGAAAGAGAGGCCCGTCCGGGTTTGCGCCTGCGCAGAGTCGGAATCGGCCGTACTCTAGACCAGGCGCCATTCGGCTCCCACCGAGCTCTACCCGGCCGGGCCTCCTTCCCGGCCCGCGGATCCCCCAAATAATACACAATGAAGGCCAACAGGATCCCTCTGTACACCCACCAACCGGCTACAGGCTGCAAACCCCGCCCCACCCGATCCCTTGTTCGGATCTCTACCTCGTATTCGCCAAAGCAACGTTTCCACACCGGCCACTAACACACTGCTTCCCTCCGAGCACTCCCAAGCTAGCGGAGAAGGCGGAGAGGAAGCTCCGGAGCAGGCCTATCATTGGCTGATTTCAAACGCCAACGGCTCGATCTCGGCCGCCAATTGGTTCGGTCTGCTGCTCGAGTCATTACCGTAGTCATCTTGTTCCGGCTCAAAGGGAAACCGCGGTTTTTTCCGTTCACGGGGTTTCAATACCACCACGCAGAGGTTACGTCGCCGAAGCTGCGCAGAGAAACTACAACTCCCAAGTATGCTCAGGTCAGGGAGGCACTCATGCCCGCCCACATTTGTACGCGGCATGCTGGGAGGTGTAGTCTTCCTGGTGCTGCCTGCCGGACCAGCCACAGACTAGAAGGCAGGAAAGATGTTTTATCTAGCTCTGGCTGTGACAGCCTTCTCTGTCTCTCAGACACAGAATCCCGTTTTGGTTGATACTACTGTATAGCTAAATTAACATTTTCTATCTGGGCATGCTCATACCCCTGGAATTAACCCAGTCTGGACATACTGAAGAAAATAGGTTCTAGTCAAATGCACTATTTGCCTTCATTTTGCTGAGGTTTCCCCTCTGTGATTAGAGTCCCGTTTCCCTTGCAGTCTAGTGATCTCATAGGAACTAGCCTTTATTTCTATTGTTTTTTAATCTCTCTACAATTTTCAAGTACCTGAATGCTAGGCCTGGCAAGAGACTCTGGGGATACAAATTCAATCAAACTACTCTTTGTTTTAGAAGAGTCTCGCATCCCAAAAGGTAAACAGAGTAGGACATGGAGACTTCCGATGTTTTCGAGCTCAAGCAGAATCTTTTAGGGATGTTCATCACAGGTGCTAAACTGTGGCTGTCCTCTCCCCTTCTACCCTGCCATGCCATGGGAGATGCGGGCTCAGTTGGCTGCATTTTCTGTTTCTAAAATCCTCCAGAGATATGAGAATCAAAGGAGTCGCTTCCACGACCAGAAATGGTTTGGGTTCTGTGAAAAGAAAAGCGGTACTTGACCAGCAGAATGTAGTGGCTGCACACTCACGTGCAAAATATTACTGCACGTCTCTATTTAACCTGTGCTACGACTTCTTTTTCACTGCTCTCTCTTCTGTGAGACAATCTTTTTTATTTTGTAATTTTGCATAAAGTAGAAAGTTGTCGCTAGGATTAAACTACACACACACACACACACACACACAACCTTTCTCCTATTGCCCTGATGATGATTATTACGGCTAAAATATTCTGGACCTCTTCCCTCTTCAAATAGTTCTAGTATTTGGTTCTCTCTCTCTCTCTCCTCTTTCAACAAATCAACGGCCAAGTTCAATTTTTTTTTTAAATACAGTGAGTTGTTTTGCATTCTAACGTTAGCAAAATAATTTCCCCTCTTGACTTATTTGCTTCTCTTTCCCAGTTGTTTATTTAATTCTATTAGTGTTTCCAGATTCTGAGCATAAATTACCTGCTAATAAAATCTAAGTGTATTTCATTATCCAGTGTGTGTATGATTCAGGTCCCTCTGGCCATGCAGTTGCAGCCCAACTCTATTTGAGTTTTAAGAAACGTCAATCTTTTAAATCAAGTTTAGAGCCTGAAAGGAGATGGACTATTTTGCTGATTATTCAAATGAATTGATAGACTTGAGATGGGAAATCTGGCAACAGTAGAGTCTTGGACATCCACAACACAAAGGTAAAGCGTGCATGTAATAATATCCAATCACTTTTTGGAAGAACTCCTAGAAACTAATTGCAGAGTTGGGTCACCTGTCACAGCTAAAGTCTATGTGAGTGAAGAGAGTCACATATGTTCTGTTTGACAACTGGGGAAATGGTCATTGCCTAAAATAATCAGGACAAACTCGAATCATTATGTGCTGCCAGTGACTGGAGGAAGTCACTATCTATAGAGAATGCCAGCCTGAGGAGAACATGGTGACCCATACTGTTAAGTCCATCAGCAAATTGTAATCTACTGAAATTTGCAGACCAAAATTATCTGAATGGAATATTCCTTTACAAGATGTTCCTCTGGAGCAATTTGGTTGTTTCTGTGTGGAATGTCCAAAGAATGCTGTCAGGGGAAGAATACAAAGAGATTACCTAGCGTGATGACAACTTTAGTGAGGTAAGATACACACTTCCGATAAATAAGAAGAGAACCGATGTCCTCTCTCTGACCACCAGATTTAGTGTAGATTTTCAGCTTGTGTTAGGACCTCAGCAAATACTTGCAATAATACTTGAACTAAACAAGTGGACCAACCTAGTATTGGCAGGTGCATTCTTGAGTAGCATCCATCTGACGTCATCTTGGAGTAGTTGCGGGGGTTTGTGGAATATAACAGGATAAGAAGAAAATGGACAATATCAGAGCAAATGTCTTCGACCAGGCGTTTTACACGGAATCGTATGGGTCATGTAAGCATTTGTATTCTGTGTATATCTACAAAAATGCAAGTCATTTCTATGCTTCTTGGCACAGAGACAGAGCCACTCAGGCAAATGTTTTCTTCTCAAGAAAGAAATAGGGCCTTGCCGCTGCCGGACTCCTAACTCCTTGCTCCCAGTCAACCACTGAAGGGAAGTAGGTAGGAGGACCTAGAAACTCCACCTGAGGCTTCCTCCGAGCTCCAGCATACACTCCAGACGTTTAACAAGGAACAGGTGGCTGCCCTCAAAACGGAGAGAAACAACCGGCTGCGATTTGCATGATTCAGGTGCTGCTGTTCTCTGGGTGTAGCGCCTCCCCAGCTCCTGCATGGAGCTGATAAGTCCACTCCGTGGGTGCCTCCACTGCACCTCAGAGTTCAAGTCCGAAATAGCCGCAGCTTGCTGGCCAGTAATCATTTAGCCACTCAAAGGGCAAATATAACAACAAAAAGTGTCGGGAAGCGCCTGCTCCGTGAATCCCTCCATCGAAATGTGGTCTTTAGGCGTCACCTCCTGCTCCTCGGAGAACTGCGCGTGGCTGCAAGCGGGTCGCGTGGGGCTTTGGACCCCAAGCTGACGCTTTCTCATATATACTGCGTCTTTCTCTGCGAAGGAGGACGCCAACGCGGCACTCGGGGCTTCGGCCATGCATGGAGTGCTGCAGTCTAGCTCAAATCGATCCCCAGCACCAGGGGAGATATTCACCTTCTTGCCTGACTTATTCCCAGAGGTAACCCGGTCAGCATCCAGGCCTGCCTCTCCGCCTTTGTCTTTTTCCGCGCTGGCTCGGGATCTCGATTCCATCCTGGAGTGTACCCCAATCGGCACACCTGGATCGTGGGAACTGTGCTGTTCCAGTAAGCAGCTCTAGTCACGTGCTGCCTGGGCAGCCCCAATATCCGACCTTTAACCTCTGAGCCCAACCCCACCCTCACGTAGAGAGCTCAGGACGTTGGTGGTGGGAGGAGGGGAATGGGGGGTCCGATGTAGAGAATATTGCACGCTCAGGCACTAAAAATCTAGAAACCACTCTGCATTGTATCGCGGGACAATTAATCCTTCCAAAGTTAGCAACCATGTTTAAAACGTTTTATTATTTTTCTCCTTAAAAATATTTACAGATCTGTACCCTCCTCAAGATGAAGGTTGTTTTTTTTTTTTTTTCAGCTTCACCCCTCAAGATGAAGGGAATGAAGAGAGGTGATTAGTTCAATGACGAAGGCCCCAGTGGGCTCGGCTTGACTGAGCCTGTGTCCTTATACACACACACACATACACACACACACACACACACACATGTATATACAGGTGTATAAATGAGGAAAAGATTATCCGGTTTTGTTGGTGTTCTTATTTTTTTTTTTCTTGCTACCAACCAAAACCTACCTAGCCAAAACTCCCTGCCAAAACTCCCTTTCCCGCCACCACCCGAGACTCTCCCCTTTCAAAAGAGTTTTCAAACGCGTTTTGGTTTGGTTTTGTGTAGAAAGCAGGTGTTCTGGCGTGTGGAATGCAGATAAATACCCGAAACAAACAAACAAAGTAGGGAAGAGGCCATAAATAAGACATAACGAATACACATGGTGTATTTCTTAATACTTCTGAACACGCGACGCTCTGCTCCGGAGCCCTGGGAAGGACGCCGCCCGCGCCCGGGTGTGCAGGCGGCTGCAGGCAGCCAGGGACGCTGCAGCCAGCGAGCGGCTCAGTAGTCAAGCTTGTTGTACAGGTTGTAGAGTGGTAAGGCCGAGAGGTTGCTGCTGGGGTAGTAGAGCGGCGCCGGGAAGGCGAGCGAGCGCGGCACCGGCACTCGCAGCAGTGAACTGTCCCGAAACACTAGCGGCATGCCCACGAGAGTCTGCGCCGATGCGTGTGCCATGTTGGCCGCCTCCAGTTCGGCCGAGAGTTGCCGCTTCCACTTGTTGCGGCGGTTCTGGAACCAAGTCTTAACCTGGGTCTCGGTGAGCTGCAGGCTGGAGGCAAGGCAGGCGCGCTCCGAGCTGCTCAGGTAGCGTTTCATGTCGAAGGTGGACTCGAGCTGATACACCTGACTGCGGGAGAAGACGGTGCGCGTCTTTTTCTTGGCCGCCCCGGCCTGTCGTTCCGCACCACCATCCCGAGGCCGTTCCGGGCCCGGAGAGGGCGAGCCCGCCGGCAAGAGCCTCTCTTTCTCGTCTTTAAAGTCCGAGTGAGAAGGAGAAAGGAAAGGCGTGCGCTCCGAGCCCGCAGGCCCTGTGCTTCCGCTGCCTTTGGGGGTACCTGGAGAGTAAGCACAAAGAGAATGACCTTGGAGTTGATGCACTCTGCTCTTTCAGGGACCAGGAGGTTGGCCGAAGCCTGCATCCTTGGCCCCCTTATTACCAATTCTTTCCTTTTCTTGTTAGCACCCAAGGTCTAGAGCCTTGGCCTTTTAAAGCAACAGAAGAGGGTCCCATATAATACGAGTCTGAGGGTCTCCGCTCCAGTCTTATAAAATAAGTATAGGTGGTAACAGGTCTCAAGTGGGCACATTAACACTATTTTTAAAAGATGATTTTTTTTATCTTGCAAAAGAACTGGGCTTTATACGGTGACATCATTTTCCAGGTCATGTCTTTGGAAGTCAGGTTAAAGACTAACTCCCGGGCTCTCCTCTGTCAGCTGCTGTCAAGAGGAACCCTCTCTGAAACGCACCACTGCCAATCATTTTAGAGTACTAATCACTTCACGAAAAGATCGAAAAGATCGACAGGAGAAAAAAGACCTAAAGAGACTGTAGAGCTGACAACACCTACACCAGATCTGCAGAACTCAAGTCAGGAAAGAAAGTACCCCGTGTGCGAAAGGATTCTGGCTAGCACCGAGTGTACGGCCCGCAGAGTTCCTGGCCCACTCCAGTTCACCCTCCTTCCAACACAGTCTTCCCCTAAACGCCCCCAATATTTCTCTACTTCTTCCTAGCGCCGGTACTTGGGAGAAGGCAACACTGGTCCGTAGACACCCTCCCCTTGACCTGGACCCCGAGTAGCCCGGCTGTGGCCAGAGGACACCCTGCTCCCGAGTCTCCGGTATGCACACACCGCATAGGCTCATGCACTGACTCCCGACGTGCGATCCTTACCCAGGCAAGGGAAAGGGATGGGGGGATGGTGCTTAGGGCTTGGCTCCTTGGGGCCGTGCGGATCTGGGCAGAAACAAGCGGGCGCTTTCCAGCCTTCGTCCAGCTCCTCCTCCTCCGAGGACACAGACAGGCTGCGTTTCCTGGCTGGCCACCCGGCGGGTTCCCGCGGTGCCTCGGAAGGGCCCCCGCCCAGGATGGACTGGATGGTGAAGCTGGAGACGCCACCGGCCGCCGGACATCCCTTTCCCACATCTTCCTTGCTGCCCATCCTGGGTTCATAAGAAATCGGAGGAAACCAAGAACTCCCTTTAGAGCGGGTCTGGGTGGAAAGTGGTGCGGGCAGGCAGGCGGGGGGAGGGGCGGGAAAAAGGCAAGGGGAGGGGGCTACGAGGCTGGCGAGGAGTCCCTTCAGAGTCAGGACACGCAGGCACCGGACCGCTGCGCGCGGGTCCCTGCCGGCCCGGCTCTGGGTGAGCCCGCCCAGCCCTGGTGCCTAAGTCCCTTCCTCGCCTGCCAACTCCACGGGTCTCGGGCGACGCGGAGGCTGCGCGGCCTCATTTGCATAGAGGTTACCCGACCGCGGCCAATCGCAGCGCCGCCGAGCGGCCCCGGAATTTTTTAAAAAGCTGGGGCCGAGCACGCAGCACTGGGGAGCGCCTGGAGCACACCTAACACCAGATTCTCTCTGGCTCTGTCCAACCTGGGGCATCTGGGGCTGAAGGCAGCTTAGATTGCAGCCTGGATTCCCGATTTCATCCTGACTCGGACCAGAGGCAGGGACAGCGCCGGGCTTCGAGATGATGGGACTCTGTCGGATCCAAGACGCTCCCACTAAACTGCAGCCAACCTCCCGAGCCCTCAGTTCGGACTGTTCCAGTCTAGAGGGAACAGGCAAAGAGCTATGAGTCTCCTGCCGCGTTGGGATAGGGAAGTTGACAGTACGGGCCTCCTTAGAGATGCCCTTCTCTGGGAGCAAAGAACTTCTAACAGTTCTCTTTAGACCCCACTGGCTAAAGAGGCCACAGAATTTTGGCAATGGAGTAGCCCTAGATTTCCCGAGGTCCCGGTTCACATTCCAGCACCACCATTTACATTGTGCTAACTTGAACAAGTCTTGTCCCAGGAGAAGCATCTCTGTTCTCTGGCAAACTCCTTAGTGCCGCCCGCCCTGTTTATCCTTGTGGAGTTTTGTCCGCTAGAGGTGGAAAAGCGCCAGAAACCTCTTCTCCCTCAGAATACAGGATAGTTATTTCCTAAACCTTGACCGAATATCACACAGCTTGCTTTCTCATGCCACAACTAAACTCTTTTATATTTTTGTTGGTAAATTTTGACGGTCTAAAAATGGCTACATTGCTTCTGTGGGGAAGAGAAGTAGGTAGCTCTGGGGAAG